GGACTGCTGACCCACTCCAGCCACATAAGTTCTAGCACTGTCCTGCATTAAGAGGAACCCAGGGCCAATGCTTCAGCATATCATCTCACAAGGGGTCTGAGGAACTCATCTCGTTATCTAATGGCAATCATTCTACCCCTGGGGAGTAGATGGAGGACTAGAGAAATGCCACCCAATAATATTTCTGACCTACTGCCAAACCAGTCATGCTGAAGGATGTTGCAGACAGTAGATCACTCTCCACGGTTTCCGAAGACTCTGTCACGTCTGTCACATGTGCGACCCTACTTTCATCTGTGAAGACCACAGAATGCCTGTGGTGAATTTGCCAATCCTGGCGTTCTCTGGCAACTGCCAAGTGTCCTGCTCGCCGTTGGGCTGTGCACGACCCCCATCTGTTGACGTCGGGCCCTCATACTATCCTTATGGAGTCGGCTTTTAATGTGAGCATGACCCCCAGAAAGCATAGGTACTGAGAAGAGGTCTGAGAACCACTCTTTTATTAATGTTGTCTTGCTAGTTGCAAATACCTTCCACCCGTTGCCTATTCTCTTTGCACAACAGGATGTTAAAGGGACTGTCAATTAGTAATGCTTCCTAAGTGAACATTTTGATTTCAAAAAAGCAGTGTATGACAATGGTGTACTCATTTTGTAAAAGCATTTACCCTATTCTGTTTGTAATGAGCTTTGACATACAACATCTTTACTCTAGTTAATGAGTAATCAATTACTAAATTAGTTGACTATTATTTAAATAATCTATTAAAATGATTTTTTCAGCCCTAGATAGAATACGTGGAATGGGCTACACAGAGTAACCACAGCCCAGATTTACAACTTGTATAGTGAAGTTAATATTTTAAATGCTCAGTTTCAGTTCCTCTTATAGTTCCAGTGCATGTGTAAATACAGTAAATTTATTTACTGTCCCTTTAATGTATTATTTTGCATGATACAGAAAGAGCATATTAAACTAAAAAGATAAGCGTGGGGTTTACCTCTGTACAATTCTATATCTTCAGAAGAAAACAAAGGATAAATTCACATATAATAGACATATTTAGACTATATTTGGATAAATAGACACTGTCGTAGTCGCTGGTAAGTTTAAATGCAAACCTTTTCAAAGTAGAAAAAAGTCCTAATTCCACATTCATCAGAGCCAGTGATGCTTCAAACATTGATAAACTGCATCTAGTGTGTGTAGTGCTTATAAGATTTGTATTAATGTAGCAAAAAATGCTGCTGTTCTCTTTAAACAAAATGTGTCCTGGTGCTCACATTAAGAACAAAAAAAGAGCATGCATATTTTTGAAAAGGACCAATGACATCAGAACAATGAAACTGAAGACCAATAGTGTCCCTACCAAAGTTGAAATCAAACCTATTGACTGACACACATATATTTTATGGTAACATATTTGGAAGAGCTAATTTCTTGCTCAGCATCTTTCATCTTTTATAAACGGTGTACAGAGTTCAATTAAAGTTACCAGGGCATCAATAGCCTTTACTGATTTTTTTTTTTAATGCCCCATATAGTTAAACCGCTCTTATGTGTTCAGATTAAACTGGACAAACAGCTCTATCTGCTGGATAAAAGTTGGAACTACATTTGTAAATCTACTAACATTGAAATGACTAGCTGTCACTAAACATGTGAGATAAAAAGATTCGAGAATATGTGCTTTTGAATATTTGAGTACTTTAAAAAGTCAGTACTTCAGAATGTTATCTTGAGTGGATTTAAGACTAACAATGTTTACCTGTTGTTGAGTCGGGTCTGACCACTCATTAATCTGCAGGTTATATAGGCGGATCCAGGATTTTCAAAAGAGGTAAAAAACTTAACATTAACACTCTTCTGAAATAGCACTTTATAAATAAACTGAATTGAAACTGTATTGACAATAAGTATCAATACTTTTACTTAAAGGTGTAGTGGAGGATGTTCTTTTTTCGGGTGGATCATCAGAATAAGTGGTCCTAATAATCGTCAATCATTCTGGTGATATCTGTATGTAAGGCCGTCCTACGTGCATTTTCACTTACCGGTGGGAGTCTGTCATAGTGGAAGAATTGCAATTTTTCTTTTGGAAAGTCAGCTTGTATGAGCAGTGCAAACGGTAACTTTTAAACAGAGCGTGCACGAGGAGAAATGGGCTGATGCATGCTCTAGAACACATTTAATATAATTCCCTCTTGGGAGTAGGTACAGGTTTGTGCATATGCATTTTCTTTTTGAGAAACTATCAACATATTCTAACTCTCAGTTCTTCCTGCTTAATGAGGCCTTAAATATAAACTCTATGTAGACTAAACACTTAAACCATCCATCCATCCATTTTCCATCAAACCTATCGCAAGCGGGATCGCGAGCGGTGCTGGTGCCTATCTCAAGCTATCTAAGGGCGAGAGGCGGGGTAAACCCTGGACAGGTGGTCGCCCATCCATTGCAGGGCAACACAGAGACAAACTGTCACAATGGGGTGGATGTTTTTGAGGACCCAAATGCCAAGATCAGGAGGCTGAGGTGAATCTTGTAGATTTAATGAGTAACTGAGGCAAAATCCAAAAATACATAGAAACAAATGACCAGAAAACATCAAGGGAAACTCACGTGGGGAGTCAGAGACAAGGAAGCAACAAACCAGCACTGAGTGACTGGAGAGGTGGAGTATTTAAGGGGGACAGAACAAAGGATGGACTAATGAGCTGAACATGGAGCAGGTGTGAGTGGAAGTAACTAGAAGGAAGAAAAGGGGAAAAGGAAACATACACAAGGGGGCAACAGAGAGTAACTAAAGACTACTTGAATATAATGGAAAATAAACCAAAGAACAAAACAGAACAACTGACAAAATGAAAACTAAATGGGGAGAATCATAACACAAACAGGACAAACAACCATTCATGCACACACTTACACCTAAGGAGAATCTAGAGAAGCCAATTAACCTAACAGTTAAGTTTTTGGACTGTGGGAGGAAGCCGGAGTACCCGTAGAGAACCCACGCATGCTCAGGGAGAACATGCAAACTCCATGCAGAAAAACCCCAGGACGGGAATGGAACCCGGAACCTTCTTGCTGTTAATATGGTTTAAGGCAGCAGTGCACACTTAAATCAGATAAAAAAGTTTTTTTTCCTGTTAAACAGAGAAAATCTGCCAGAAAAAAAACTGTCTGAGTTTAAAGCGTTAGAGGGTAATCAGTAAGAATTTTAGTCATTCTTTATAAATAAGATTGAGCTCATTATTTATTACTATTTATCATAAGCACCCCACTAAAAATGATTAGTTTATCTGTGGAGGCTGAGGCAGCATCTTAGGTAGCCATAGAATCTGAGCCGGGTTTAGACTGCTTTGATCCAGTTGAACTTTCAGAGTTAGCAAAACTATTGTCTTCATCTAGGCTTCAAGTTGTATGTTAGATCCAGTTCCAACCAGATTATTTAAGGGAGTATTCCCTTTGATCTCCTCCGCCATTTTAGATGTAATTAATCTATCCCTGTTAAAGGGATATGTACCAAAGTCTTTTAAGGTAGCTGTAATTAAATCTTTACTTACAGATGACTTGGTCAATTATAGACCTATATCCTATCTTCCTTTCTTATCTAAAATTCTTGAGAAAATTGTGCCAAACCAGTGTGTGAACACTTAGATCACAATGAGCTTTTTGAAGAATTTCAGTCTAGCTTTAGACCTCATCATAGCACTGAAACAGCACTGGTGAAAGTCACTAATAATATTCTTATTGCCTCAAATAATGGACTTATATCTGTACTTGTCCTGTTGGATCTCAGTGCTGCATTTGATGCAGCTGATCATAATATTCTTTTAGAAAGAGTTGAATATTTTGTAGGAATTAAAGGTACAGCACTAGACTGGTTTGAATTGTATCTATCTGACCTATTTCAGTTTGTTAACATTAATGACAAATCTTCCTCATGCTCGAGGGTTACCTGTGGAGTACCACAGGGATCGATGCTGGGACCAATTCTCTTTACTATATAACTGCTCCCAATCGGTAGAATTATTAAACAGCAGTGAATCGACTTCAAATATTATGATGATGATTTTCAGATTCATTATTAGTCACTGCTAAATGCATTGCCCTTTATTAGTCATACAGAAAGTTCAAACATCCAGCCTCCTCTGCTGTATATATATAGAGTCAGCCTCAATCTGAGTGCAGCAACACTCTGTTGTCTGACAAGACTCACATAACATAACTGAAGTAAGTCTTAATCCTGCTGTGCTTTTTAAACATTGCACATTTTATTGTGTGTAACTGATTTTCAAACTGGTTGTTATCTAGTCATGTTTGCCTTCCATCACATGTTGAGTGTGCTAATATGGATATAGCTATGAAGTAGACCGAATGTAAGTTTATAAGCATATTATTTAAAAAATTTACACTTTTGTAATCTCTTTTTTCTTTCAGAGAGAATCGCTCTATTCTGAAAATGAGAGGTAGGAAAATCGCTGTTCAGGTTGTATTTATTTGACCCATTGCAAATTATTTTGGCAATGGTTGAGATTAATAAACATTTATTTAAAGTGGTATTGTTAGCAACCATAGATGTTACTGACACTTTCTTTAAGTGTAGTTTAACACACCAAGTTCAATTAATGCAACTTCTGATAAGCATATTTAACCTCTTTAAATTATATTGCAGTGAGGTACTGGGAGGGTTGATATAGAGACATAGTGTTTGTATGGGTGTGGTGCAATAGCAGAGAGCCTGTTATGCACTGTGCTCATTATGTCCGGGAACACTTTGTCTAGTTTAATTACAGCAAAATTTTATTATATATACAGTGTAAAATATATATATATAGGACACTAGGGGGTTTTCTTTATCTTTTGGATTTTGAGATAACTTATTTTTATTCCCCCTGCAGTTCGTGCTGGGACTGAAGTCTCTGTTGGATCAGATGGGCTTGTGGAAATGATTGACACCTTTGACCGATCTGGTCATGCCTCTACTGCTTCTACCTTTGCAAGAGCAGGAAAATATGCATGTGGACTGGAGGACAAACCAGGGAGGCGTATTCCCAAAGCAGGGGTTTATGCTGAAGCAGGAGTCGGTGAAGCTGGAGCTGAGTGGAGTGTGTTTGATGCTAAAGGAGCCAGCGTCTCTGCAGGAACCTTGAAAGCCAGAGCCATGGCCACAGCAGTGAGTGGTGAGACTGGTGGGGCCCCCCTCTCCGGAGGGGCTCTCGGGAAACGGGGGTGCCTTTTGGAGTCAGCGGGGGAGCTGGCTCCCTGGGAGTGCAGTAAGCACCCCAGTCCTTTGCTCCCCATCCCCGAAATCCTCCCTCTGCCTGCCCCATCACACTGCCACACATGTAGGTTTTTGGGGAGGGGATCGTTACTGGAGGGTCCCACCTTCTGATGACATCCCCCACCCCAATTTTATTTTGAATTTTTGACACTTCCATCTACAACATTTTCACAACACGCATCTATGTCGGGCATTTTCTGGGGGGTGGGGGTCAAGGCCACCCTGGGGGGGGGGCTTATTGTATGGGCCTCACCACGGTCGGCTTCCTCCATCCCCTCTCGCATCTAGACATTGAGGGTTCAGGGTTGTCGAATGGGGGGGTGCTCTGGCACTGCTTATCTCCCGGAGGGGGGGTGGACTGTGCCGGACACCCCCTCTTGGTACTCCCAGTTTTAATTACATCTGAGAGCAACACGCAACAACACCACATTTGAGCAAGCGCAGGGTGGATCGGGGCCTTCTCACACCCCTGTTCCCCGGCTGCCACCCGGAGTCTGGGGCCTGGAGGAAGAGTGAGCCACCTGGTCCGTGGTTTTGGCTGGGGTGGGCAGCAGTGGCGGGGCAGTCACTTCTACTCTCCCCAAAGAAGGTTGGAAGGAGGGGCATGTAGTGGCGGGTTTTTGGTTGGGTGGCCAGCGCGTGATGGGTGTGCCCCGGTCCCAGGGGGAGCTCTTGCTGGGGGTGGTCCGGTCCATGTGCGGGGTGGGGGGCCGGGCTCGAAGCAGTAATGAGATGGGTTGGTGTGGCGGTGTCACCGCTCCCCTTCCCCCATCCGGATTTTAGGTTCACTTATTGGGTCATCCGATAATCCCAGGACCAACCACGGGTGCCGCCGGGCCTTCGGTTCTGGTATTATTGGATGTTAGTGTTATGTTTTTATGTGTGTCCGCGTTTTTTTATTTATTTTATTTTTCTGTGGTGCGAGTGGGGGCACTAGGGAGGGAAGGCTTGATTGAGATTGTGAGTGTTTTTTTTTTCTCTCCCAGGTTGAGGTCTGAACTGCCCCCTCTCCCAAACACATCTCAAGTCTCCACTAGGTGCGAAGCCCATTTCCCCCGTCCTGCTCTCCCTCCGCTGGTTGGCGTCGGGGCTCGCCGGTGCACTGGTGGAGCTCGGGGTCTGGGGGTGGATGCCTGGGTGGCTAGTGGCTCATTCCTGGCGGCCTCTCCGCGGGCCCCGGCCAGGCGGGGCCTTGCTGGGGCTCCTGTCTGGGGGTCGGGCGCCCAGGACCGGATTCACTTCAGGATGGCCGGCTGCCGGTGGAGCCCGCGGACTCGTCCCCGCGGCGCAGGCATTGCCGGTGGCTGGGGGGCTTCCTCGAGGCTGTCTCTCCTCCTCCCTTGGTGGGGGTCTGATTTCCGGGGCTGGCCCCTCCTTGGTGCCTT